CTGTTGCTTGCGCTAACTGGTATTGCAAACTCAAATTAGCTGTAATATTGGCTTTCCCTCCTTTTTTGCTGTTGAAATCACTTTTTGAGAATACCTATGGGCATGGAATTCTTCTCCAAATTAATTTAGCTCCTTCTGGCAGTGGAGCCTCCTGTCATCACAGCTTGTCCTACCCTGGTAGCTTCTGTACCAAGCAATTGGGAGCGAGTGTGGGATAATAGGAGCCCCAGGCTAAAACACCACACTCTTCACTGTTCTTACCAAGATTCAGTAGATTTTCTTGGACCAGCACTTCTCAAATTTGTTGTAATGTTTTTGATCAATATCAAGACTTTAAATAGTTTTAACAATGTTGTTTTATTGTTGCTTTAGGAGGTTAATATTTGTCAAACTCCTCATTCAGTAGTTCTGGATGTCCTTTCCCCTGCCCCCTCCCTTTCTCTCTGTCTTTCCTCTCTGGGTGTGTCTCCCTGTCTCTGTCTCTCATTTTTGAACATTTAAATTTCATTCAAACTGAAATTTATTTTGGAATATTTTATGAAGTAGGGATTTGTTGGTTATTTTTTTAAAATGGTGTTAAGTAGTGTCTTAATACTACTTGTTGATTAATCCATGTACTTCTTATTGATTTGTAATGTAAATGGTTTATTTTTCTAATCTCATTGAGATTTAATTTTGTCCTTTTTTTTTCTTAATCAATAGTCATCTTTTGCTTGTTTTTCCCATCTTTTGCTTTCCATTGGCTCATTTTTTTCTGCCTTTAAACCTGTCTTTGGACTTTATATCTTTGAGTTTCCTTTGCTACTCGGCTTCATACATTCCATTTGCTCTGATACTCGTAAGTACTAAGGCTAGGCTAAGACAAGTGAGATGCATAAGGCACAAAAGTTCTAGGAAGCTCTCACTTCTGGGTCCTGCAAGTGTGGGACTGGTACTCATAGAACTTTGCATTTTCAAATTTTGCACCCTAAGTGCCTGGCTTGCCCCGTTGTAGTCCTGGCTCTGCTACTCATACTTCTCACTAGTATATATTTGTTGTAACCTGATTTCTGTCCCAAATAGGCTTCATTTATTCAAATTGTTGTGCTTTTGCTATGTACTGTGCATTGTGCTAGGTTTTGGGGAATACAAAGGATCTCAAGACACCATTTATTTCACCCAGAAGCTTTCTTCAGATTTGCCCTTATGAGGTCTAGTACCTTTTCTCCATTCCTCATCCTTCCTACCTTCTTTTACTATGTGACATTATTGACCACTATTGCCTGTTCATGCTAATGCCAGCCCAGCTCTTAAGAATGTATGGCTATTTCCATGGTAGGACACCTTTTCTAGGGTCCAGTGGGCAGTTGGGCAGTGTATCAGTGGCCCTCATTCTGGAAGTTAGTAAGGGTTGGAAACTGGCCTGTGCTTTCAATGTGTCAGGGTAGGAGTGCCCAGGGACTTCTTCAGGCTTAATGGGCCTTTATAACTATGTCACAGGGAATAGAAGATTGCTTGTTTGTTCATTTTCTTTTATTTCTTTCTTTTCTTTCTTTCTTTCTTTTTTTTTTTTTGAGAAGAAGTTTTGTTCTTGTTGCCCAGGCTGGAGTGCAATGGCGTGATCTTGGCTCACTGCAACCTCTGCCTCCCAAGTTCAAGCAATTCTCCTGCCTTAGCCTCCTGAGTAGCTAGGATTACAGACGTGCGCCACCACGCACGCTAATTTTGTATTTTTTTTTTAGTAGAGAGAGGTTTTCTCCATGTTGGTCAGGTTGGTCTCAAACTCCCTACTTTAGGTGATCTCCCCTCCGTGGCCTCCCAAAGTGCTAGGATTACAGGCGTGAGCCACTGCTCCTGGCCTGTTTGTTCATTTTTCTTTTTTGAGACAGAGTCTCACTCTGTCGCCCAGGCTGAAGTGCACACTCTCGGCTCACTGCAATCTCTGCCTCCTGGGTTCAAGCAATTCTTGTGCCTCAGCCTCGAGTAGCTGGGATTACAGGGGCATGCCACCTTGCCCAACTAATTTTTTGTATTTTTAGTAGACACGGGGTTTCGCCATGTTGCCCACGCTGGTCTTCAACTGCTGAGCTCAGACAATCTGCCCGCCTTGGCCTCCCAAAGTGTTAGGACTACAGGCATCAGCCACCGCACCCAGCCATTGTTTGTTCATTTTCTACTTGGCATTTTATATACTCAGAATCTTTCCATCTGCTGCTAGTGCTTTGGTACCCAAATGTGGGCTTTGACTGCCTGCCTAGCTGTCTGGCTTAGTCTTGCCAATTTTGTTTTCTGAGTCCTGCGTTCTTCCCCCATTCTTTGCTGACTTGTTTTTAATGTACTTTCCCGGTATGACCCTACTCTGTTTGGTGTTCTCACTGCTTGTTCATGAAAACAAACTCATCCATTCATTTATGGAGTGGCTTTTGAGCACCTATTCTATCCTAGGTGCTGTGGGAGCCACCAGAGTTACAATGACAAACCCAACCAAACATTCCTTGTCTCCCTAAGCTAGAGAGACGAGTTAGGTATTAATCACACAAACTGGGATAACTGCTGTGAAGGAAAGACACAGATGCAGCTGACCTAGGAACACTGGAATTGAAATCTGTCACCTCATCTCACTTACCTAGCAGTAGCTCCCCTTCATTTTGAACTTTTGCCTGAATCAGGATTGACATGTAGTGCCCCATTCTCAATTCCGGCTGTTGTTTTTGGGTTGTTGGCAGTTTGCTCCCGACGCCTTGCCCCAACCAAGGCTGCCATCGTTTGTATTCTTAGTCACTAGTGGGAGCATACCCTGATCATGGATCTGTCCTCATTTGGGAGCTCTTTTCTCTTTGTTTTCTTAACGCCTGCCTCTGTTGGTTCTTTTCCTACATCTTCGTTAGCTTCTTGGTTATATTTTCTACTTCTTTACATTTCCTAAAAGTTGCCCTAACCCAGATTTTGTCAGGGTAAGAGTGCCCAGAACTTCTATAGGGTTAATAGGCCTTCAAAATGATGTCACAGGGAAGGGAATGTTGCTTGTTCATTCCTTATCCTGTGCCCTCCTCTGTATCTGCGTACCCTTTCTTGGCAATCTCATCTATTCTTGAACTCTCTGTGTTACCATCTTTATGCAAATGACTGGCCGATTTCTCTCTTTTGCTCCTGTTTTCAAGTATTTGGTGGATCGCTCCATGTGGAGGTATATAATACTCCAAGTAGAATTCATCATCTTCTCTAACTTTACCAACTCCCAGTCTCCTACCTAGAAATCTCACACAGCCACTCCCACCTTGCTGACTTCCAGACCTGCCTGGTTGCTAGGTGGTGCTGCTTTGTCCTGTGTAATACCATGGTAAGGGCCTCTTCTTTTCAGTGTCCTGAACTCAAGTTTGGGTCTTCCTTTCCTTTCACCTGTCTGTTCTGATTTTCTCCTAAGATACATCTGCTACTAGTATCTGTCAACTCCAGATGACTTTGAGTCCTGTACCAGGTTTCCTGAAACAATTCTAATATGTTGTTTTTCTCTTCTGCTCATTCATGCTTTGAAAACTCCCTAGTGCTTTTGAAAAACTGGCCTAGTTTTTTAGGCCTTCCGACTTGTTTTAATTTCCTTGCCACTGCCTCCCTTCATATAGGCTGGACTCTATCCAAATGGAATTAATTTTGTGAGAACTTGCCTGTATTTTCTGTTTGCGCCTCTATTTTTATTTCCTTTTGCCAACAGTATGCTTTCCTCACACTCTTAGTTCTTCAGAATCTTTCCTAAAGTACTCTCAGGTTTCCTGACTTGGAGACACTCTTTCTTTCCTATCATCTGTACATTTATCCACACTTTAAAAAACACAGTGCTTACCCCTTATCCTTCATTCTGTCTAGTGTAGTGCCTTGAAGAAATACGTGTGAAATTACTGAGTGCATAAATGCATTTCTGTATTAAACCCTCAGACAGTCTTGACTCCTCCATCTGCCTTTCCCATTCCCTTGCTGTTTATATAAGGCCATCTCTTTCTCTCCCTTCTTGCAACAGGATTGGCTTTATCTGTGAATCTCTTTATCTTGCCCTAAGTGGCCTGTTATCCTTTGTCTCCATTGCTTTTCTGCTGCTGAGTTAGTATTAATTTCAATTTAAAGAGAAATTACATCATTTTGGTGAAGGATGTGTGTGGGAAATATAGAGGAAATAGAAGCTAGTGTTCAGAATGACATCTTGATTCGTTTTGTGGGAACTCAGGCTGCCCACAAAAATTTCAAATATAGACTTGACTCCTGGGCTGGTGGCCATCAGAGACTAGAAAGTAGAAGTTGTGATGACATGTTCAGCATCCAGGTGGAAGGCTAGGGGCCAGCTGCGGGGACCCACATTCCAGCCTGCTGATCCTGGCAGCTGCTCTTATATTCCTTAGACACAGCTGTTTGAGCTTCTCATCAGACAACTGGTTTGAGGTGATGGCAGGTAAGAGTAGGGGAAGAGACGTCTAATTACAGTATTGCCATGTTTTGAAAGTGTGTGGATCATCTGGGGTTCCCTGCATAGTTTTGGACATCAAGTTGTGATAATGAATTAGGTTTTGCTGGTGGATTCTAAGAAATTAACTTGGTTTCATAGAGGTATATCATTTGTCCAGAGTTGCACTTAGTAAATGCCACATATTGAACCCCAGTTTAATACCATTCCAACTTTTAGATTCTAGATCTTTATATCACTTTTCAAAACTATATTTCTTTATATTTTTGTTCATTTCGCAAGCTGAATAGAACTGCAGGATTCCTTATTTTTCACATCATTGCCCCATTTGTGGAGATGTTTAGTTGAAGTGGCCCAAAGAAGCAGTCTAGTGGTACTTGTGAGGGTGAAGGCCTTGAAAAGAAACTTGAGACAGATGGTGTGTTTGACTAACTGCCCTGGAGAATGTTATGCCAGAACCCAGGAGGGGCACCACGTTGCCTTTGCCATTGAAATACTAAATTTCTGAGAGGACAGAGGAGCCTACAACTTAATCGCTCTCCAATTACCAATCTCTTCTTGGTTTCAGTGAATGACAACAGAGCTGCTCAAGGCGGGAACTCTGAGCTGAGCAGTGGAGGTTTCTTTGGATCTGGAGAGAAGAGTGACCTTGGAGCCAATAATGAGCCATCCTGACTACAGAATGAACCTCCGGCCCCTGGGGACCCCCAGAGGTAGTAAAAGGAAAATGGAGTCTGTCTAAATAATTGGAGAACTGAAATAAAAGTGAAATGGGTGTGAAGTGGAGGGTGTCTTTTAGGACTAAGGGCTACTATAATTCTTTTAGTGACCTGTTAAATATTCTCCTGTGTGATTTTTTCTAGAATTAGATGTGGTTTCTTGCTATCTTAATTTATCGTTGTATTAAGTACAGCTGTTTAATTTCCTCTAGTAAAGTGGCAATCTTTTAGTAATTTCTATTTTCAAAAAGTTTGTGTATATAAATAGCAAAGAACACTGGACTCATTATTCACATTATGTTCCATCCATGTTGTTGTGCTGATTTAAAACTCAAGTCTCATCTGTGTATATTTTATTCATGTTTTCTTAGCCACTCTTTCCTTTTTGTTATTGTTCAAAATCACCATCAGGGAGTTCCAGTCTCTTGTTGGTCTCTTTAAATAATAATTGTAAAAAGGTATGATATCTCCAGTTTTAAAAATACACAGATGTTTGAGGAAAGAGTTGATTGCTGCCTCATGTTTCTAGGTGTGTCCACTGTGGCTGGCCCACATGACATTGGTGCTTCGCCAGGTGACAAAAAGTCAAAGAACAAGTCCACACGAGGGAAGAAAAAGAGCATATTTGAAACTTACATGTTCAAGGAGGATGTTTCGGAAGGCTTGAAGAGAGGAACACTCATCCAGGTGCTTAAAATCTACTGGAAGGCTATTGCCTGAATATGTGGAATCCAAAACAATCTATTAAACTATTTCCTGTTCTGTGCTATGTGCTTTCAGAGAGGTGATGATGTAACAGGTGCAGGGCTGTTATGATGGCATAACAGAGATGATGAAGTAACAGGTTCTTCTTAGAACTCAAGTACATTTAGAGGTAATAAGCACCATAAGACAGGAACAGGCAAAGTGCTCTGAGATTTGAGAGGAGGGAGCTGCTATTTCCCATTAGGCTTGCCTAGAGATGCTTTATTGGAAGTGACATATTTGAGCCAGGCCATGGATTGGTGCAATTTGAATAAGTGAAGATAAAAGAGAGCTTTACAAATGGAGGGACCAGTGTGACCTACTACAATAGAAGTGAGAAATTGGGTTTGGATATACGAAACATTGAATATCAGTTTTTCTGGAGCATGTGGATGTTGAATGATGGAGAAAAATGGATGAGGTTGGAAAGGAAGCAGTAAACAACAATAGACAGTATTTGTTGAGTGCTTTATAGTTTACAAACTGTGTTTACAAGCTAGTTCAGTGGTTTGGCTGAACAAATGTTTATTGAGCATCCATTGTGAGCCAGGAACAGTTACGGTTAGGAGTGTGCAGCATGGGTGCCTTTGAGATGGAGGTAGACAAGATTGCCTTGCTGTACTTCAGCTTGCAGCTCAGTGGTGGGAGGCAGTCATGTGAACAGATGATTTGGGGATAAAGTGGCAAGTGCTCAGATAAAAGGGTGACCAGGGTATATGGCAAAATATTGGGGGGAAAGCAGGAAACTGTGTAGGCTGAGGTTCTGGAGAGGCTTCCTGTAGTTGGTGACCCTTGTGGTAGGTATTGAGGGATGACTAGTTTGGGCCTATCAGGTGAGTGATATGTGTGTGGGAGGTATGGAGAGGCAGTGGCGCTAACAAAAACGTTAACTTGTGAAACAACATGGAGTATGGCAGCTTAGGCCTCCTTGGGCATAATCCGTCAGGTAGTTAGTAGGCTGGGGAGGGAGGCAGGGCCACATATTCTGTGAATTAAGTCTATTTCATAATACTTTCATTAGTATAGAAATATTGCCATGTGCTACCTGGCTCACTTGAAAATGCTGTGTTCCACTTTCTCTTATTCTGAGAGCACAGCTTCTGCATTTGTGTTTTTGGCTGAAGATCTAACCAATTTACGGATGCTATCATCTTCTCTTCCTTTTTGTCATTCATTTTCTCTCTCTCTCTCTCTCTCTTTCTCTCTTTCTTTCTCTTTTCTCTCTTTCTTTCTCCCCTCCCTCCCTCCCTCCCTTCCTTCCTTCCTTCCTTCCTTCTTTCCTTTACCTTTCTCTATTTATCTGTGGTCAAGTGCACACATGATCGATGGAAAAAAGAAAAAAAATTGTCTTTTAACAAATGAGTTGGTTTATCTGATTCTTGGAGTACTCTTGGTGGTTATTTATTTATTTATTTATTTAGAAGGTCTCACTCTGTTGCCCAGGCTGGAGTGCAGTGGTGCAGTCTTGGCTCACTGCAGCCTCTGCCTCCTGGGTTCAAGTGATTCTTGTACCTCAGCCTCCCAAGTAGCTAGGATTACAGAAGGTAAAAAATTAGTCATGCCATCATGCCTGGCTAATTTGTGTGTGTGTGTGTGTATATATATATATATATTTTTAGCCAAACAGATTGGTCATTATTGTACATATAGCTGGAAGGGAGGGGTGGTCCTGGAGTGAGGACAGGGCTGCCCAATATTTGGGGGGAGGAAGGGACTCTTCTTCCAAATGGGCTTGTCCGGGAACCGGGTTCCCGGGGAGCTGGGCGCCTGGTCCACATGGACCCCCTCCACCTCCCCACATACACTTTGGAAGAAGGGCAGGAGTGAGAAATGCTGGGGGAGAAGGATCCTTTGGTTTGAGATGTGGAGGTGATCATAATAGTTCCCGCCCGCTGGCTGTTTTGTTGACTTTGGAGAGGCCTTCCCCGAACCCAGAGTCGGTCATTACTTGTTCCATCTGAACATCCTCCTCGTCCTCCTGGGGCAGCTGCAGGGATGGGTTGTCCCTGTGGGCTGGAACTTGTAGCCCGTGAGCATGAAGAAGGCCAGGGTGGAGCCCTCCACCAAGAGCTGGTACAGCCACTGCCACTGAAAGGGGACAGCCACCTGCTACAGGATGGCGATGATGCGGGTGAAGTAGATGTAGCAGATGACTGTGACATAGTAATGCTGGAACAGCTTCAGCTTGGCCAGGTTCACGGCCACCTTCCCGTCTGTGCCAGACGTGTCCTGGAGATGCCAGATGGACCAGACTACGGGAAACAGGATGGCGCTGCAGCAGATGAGATCCATCAGGAACAAAATCTCCTTCCACAGCACATAGTCACTGGCGCCCTCCTCGCGGGACTCGATGCCGATGTAGGCCACGTTGGCCAGGACCTGCATGGGGATCATGATCCTAAAGACCTTCTTCTCCTTATCCGACAGGACATACTTGATGAAGGCCCAACCTGAGCCGATCAGAGCGACGGTGATGAAGAGAAGGGCACCCTTCAGCAGGTGTGTGAAGGCAAGGCCTTCGATGGGGTGGCTCTGGCTGTTGATGAGGTAGTAGTTGATACTATGGAAGAGGAGAGAGATGCTCTTGGTGAAGGCCAAGGCCACCATGAGCCAGTGGATCTTGAAGACGCTGTACATGTTCCTGCAGAGGATGGACACCCAGAAGATGCCAGCGGCCAGGAAGCAGACGGACATGACTATGTAGAGCTTGAAAAGGGGCATCTCCGCCGCCGACAGGAAGCCATCAGGGTTCTTCTCCTGGATCATCACCGTGATGTCAAATGGATGCTCCTTTCCTGGCACTGAATTGTTGCAGTTGTGGAAGTTCAGGCTGTACTGGCCTTCTTCCGCCTGAGAGCCGATCACCACGTGGAAACTGAAGTTGTAGGAGTTGTTGAGGTGGCTCAGGCCTGACACCAGCTCCTTGTCCTTCCCGCTAGGACCCTGAGACACTGCGGGTGTTGACTTGGGCTTGCTGGCTGCAGAGGTCCCTCCGCCATCCACCTTGCAGGGGACTGTGGCCTGTGGCTTTGGGAGCCCTGGTTCGGAGGGCACTTCGGGGAGGAGCCTGGGAAAGATAAACAACTTCTGCTCTCCGTACTTCGCACCTGGACCTTCAGATCCTTGGTGTTGATGAGGAACAGGACCAGGAAGCTGCTACTGTTTTTCTGGAGAGGGCAGTCCTGGAAATCCCGGGTTGAATAGGAGCGAACTCTGCCAGATCGAACCCGGCTGAGACTGAACCCCACCAGCAAGGACTTCTGCTTCCTGGAGGCCCAGCCGCAGGAGGCTCAACTCCACCACCAGGGAGCCGTTGGTGTAGAAACTGAAGCTGTTCAGCTGGATGTCTGCTCGCTTGTCCCCCTCGGAGGGCCTGGCCTTCACCTTCTGAAAGGACTTTTAGATTCCAGTTGAGCTCTCAGCAACATTTCAATGGAACCCCCCAAATCCCATTAAGTGCCCCGAGGACCCCACTCTATAGCTCCCCCAGGACCCCGCTGTGTGGCTCTAGGGTCTTTAGCGCCCCAAAAGTGATTCCAAGAATTAAAAGGACTAAGACCCAACCGGGGGGGGATGGGGTGTAGTCCCCCAATTTTTGTATTTTTAGTAGAGATGGGGTTTCACCATGTTGGCTAGGCTGACCTGACCTCAAGTGATCCTCCTGCCTTAGCCTCCCAAAGTGGTGAGATTACAGTCATAAGCCACCACACCCAGCCCTATTGGAGTTTCTTTTTTTTAAAGCTTTCCCTGGATTTATTTGACATGGCCTCTCTTAGGAGAGATGAAGCTGCATTTGGATGTTAGTCCATTCATTAATCCATCATTTGCTCTTCATTGTTTAGCCCATACCCCCCCCTCCGCCCGAACACCATTTTATCTGTAAGCTTCTTGGCCCTCCTCCTGTTTCATGTAGGAGGACCCATTGTGCCTCTCCATTCTCATCCTCTTGCACTCTCCTCCAGGAGCACTGTCCTCCATTCACCCTGAGCTTCCAGTCTTTTCCTCTAAAAACTGTGCTCCTTGATGTCTCTGTGACTTTGTGCGTGCTGGTCCTGGTGCTCGGAATGCTTTCTCCCGCTGTCTTGATGTAATGGTGCTTAGCTTTTAAGTCCCTGCCTAAATGTTACCCACTTTGAGAAGCCTCATTTTAATTCTCCAAGTAGAGTTGGCTGTTAGTGCTTTCCTGTAGTTGACTTTTTTGTTTTCCCTTTATTCTAAACTTAACCACCATTTCTTTTCTTTTATGTTTCCCCCAAATAGACTGTTCATGTCCTTGATGGCAGGGTCATGTCTTATTCCAGAAGTTAGCTCAGTGCCTGACATTTGACTGATGCTTAATACATTTATATTGAATAAATATTTACTTATTGACTGAATAAAGGATCCAGATACTGTCTTTTGAAGAAGAGTCGGGGGAACGTCAGTCATTAGAACTTGAAAGAAAACTAGTCGCCTAGAATTTTGGCTATAGATTTATACCTATCTAGAGACAGCGTTCTGCAATGGTATTAGCTTCAGCTCCCTTTTAGTTTTCACTTTTGAAACCACTCGTTGCTGATACTCAAATAAAACAAAACAAAAATCTGATCAATATAACAACTCTAATTCCCAGTAGTTTGTAAGTGATTCCTTCTGGCCTGTGACATCATGGGACTCTGCAGCCAGGACCTCCCCCCCACATATGAGAACAGTTGTTCTTTGCAGATGGGGAAAGAAATGGGTTCCAGATATGAGGTCACCGTGTGAAATATACAACACTGTAAATAAGATTTTCATAGGCAGAGAAACAGAGTCCATCTGCTGCTTGATATAAACTTTATGTGTGCAGGCCTTGCTGGGTAAGGTAAAAGGCCAGACAAGAAAGGATGTTTTAATGCTGATGGAGAAAAATTAAGTGTATTAGAGATACTTGGAAACTTTTGTTAACTTTTGTATTCAAATTCATCTCTTTTGACCTCTTTTTTTCCCTCCCCATCCAGAGAAGAAACTTTTATCGAGATATAGTAGGGGGATTTAAAAAAAATAGGAGTAGAGTATTTTTATTTTGTTTTCAATACCTTAACCAATACTTTGATATTTCATTCGTATTTTTTCCTATGTGAGTTTCCAGTGTTTGAAGCGACAATAACAGTAACACATGATCATGTATGTGTAGTTTTGAAGTTGAAAAAAAATTCTCACATCAAAAAATGTATTTCATTTCTCTCTTCATAGGGGGGAGTACTGAGAGGTTGTTATAGGAGATGTTGGGAGAGATTAGAGTAGGGGATAGACAAGCCTGGAAGGGGCTCCAGTTTAGGGTGATGATCAAGGTGACATGGGTATGAAGATGGTAGAATTGGCTGTTTCAGATCCCAAAAGATGCTTTGGCTAAAGGAAGTTCAGGCTAAGCCCCCAGAGCTGCGTTAGTTATGATGTCGGAGTTCCTTTTAGATTAGAATATTGGTGTGAAGTTGTTATTGGCTCTCTAAAAAAATCCTAGTCCAGGAAGATAGAGGACAGGATGAACTAGTTTCTAGGACAAACAAACAAACATTTGTTTGTTTGTTAGTTTGGTTGTTAGTTTCTTAACAAACAAGCATTTGTTAAGAGTGAAATCAGGCAGGGTGTGGTGGCTCACCCCTGTAATCCCAGCACTTTGGAAGGCTGAGGTGGGGACATTGCTTGAGGCCAAAAGTTTAAGACCAGCCTGGGCAACATAGTGAGCCTTCATCTGTACAAAATAAAAATCAGCCAGGCATGGTGATGTGCACCTGTATTCCTAGCTACTGGGGAGGCTGAGGCAGGAGGATCACTTGAGCCCTGGAGTTGGAGGCTGTGGTAAGTCATGATCATGCCATTGTGCTCCAGCCTGGGCAACAGAGTGAGACCCTGTCTCTCTCTCTCTCTTTTTTTTTAAGAAGAGTAAAGTCAGCTGGAGAATACTTGGGGATGAATTAAAGATGAGGGGGAATAGATGTGATGTTATAGCGGAATGCCCAGTCACTCAGAAGGGAGAGATGATATTCATAACATTAATACTGGGGGTGATGAAAGAACTTCAGCTCTGCAGGCATTAATTAATTAGTGCAACAAATGTTTCTTGACTTCTTACTCAGTGCCAAGCATATACCAGTGAGCAAGTTAGGCAAGTCACTGGGGAGGTAAGGAAAAACAACTAAAGAAAAAGAGAAGAAATTAGACTGATCATTGCTAATAAGGAAATGGGAAAGGTGAGAGAGATTATAGAGAGAACCTCTTTAGTAGAGTTGCTAGGGAAAGCCTCTGTGAGATGATCTGTGGGTTGTCTGAGATGAGAATGAAACAGCCAATTGAAGAATTAGGAGAAGAACGTAGGTGGAAAGCTCAGCTAGTAGAACAGCAGCAAGCAGAGGAAGGCTTGGTGGTTCTGAGAAATGAGAAGGAAGCCTGTTGGAACATTGTGAGCAAAGGGAGTTATATGATGGGACAAGTGGAGAGTTAGGCATCAGCCAAGTCATGTAGGGTCTCTAGGCTATGCTGGAAAATTGGATTTTGTTTAAAGAGCAGCAGGAAGTCACTGAAGGCTGTTAAGCAGGAGAAGAAAATAATCTGTTTCATGCTTTGAACATATCTCTTTGGGAATTGTGAGATGAATAGACTAGAGTGGAAGCTGAGAGGCCACTCAGGAAGCTATCAAAGTAAACCAGGTCAGAAAACATGGAGATGGGAACAAGAAGGTGGCAGTGAAGATGGATGTGGGGCTAGAACTGATATGACATGCTGGTGGGTGAGATATGGAAGATGAGGCAGAGGGAGGCATCCCTGACGCTTGCTGAGTTTTCGAATTGAGCGGCTGGCTGGTGTTGCCATTAACCAAGACGGAGAAAAGCAAGGGTTGGAATGAGTTTTTGGGTAAGAGGGACAGCTGGCATACATGAGTGAAGAGGCCCTGGTGGTGAGTGTGGCAAACAGAGAGAGAGGCTGTTCACGGTAGTGGAGAGCATGGACTCTGGAACCAGACTGTCTGACCTTGAATGTGATGTGAAAGCAGGCATTTTTTTTAACCTCTCAGTGCCTCAGTTTCCTCCTCTGTAAAAACAAGGATAATAGTATCTACCTCATAGGGTTGTTGTGAGGGTTAAATTAGCTGATCGATATAAAGCTCTTCCAAGAGTGTGTGGCACGTCATATACCTGCATAAGTGGCACTTGAGTTTTGTTTTTATTACTATAAGAGGAGTGTCTGTTATTCAGGTTAAGTGGTTGCTGTCATTTGGAGAACCCTGTCCAAAGCTGTTAGATCTTATGATTTTTCAAGAATATCTGGAACTATGTATTTTATATGTGTGAAATTCCTCAGTTTTAAGGACTCTCAAGCCAAATACAGTATGTTTGTGATTGCCAGTTAGACTGATTTAGCCCAGTTGTGTGGTGTTTTTCTATGGTACTGTTTAGCTCCTTGGGTACAGGAAGTGAGAAAGCAGTTAGCTGGGGTTAGTTGAGAGTAGAGAATCAAGGGTAAAATCTTCAAGGTCTTTTGCTGGTTGAGTATCAGAGTAAGAGGTTTGTTTAGGATTTGCAAGGTTAAGTGATAATGACAGGCCATGGCAATTAGGTTGCTAGAGAAGGGAGTAAACAGTGGGAGGACAATGAATGGTGACACGTGGTCACAGCTTTGGGTTGGAGATCTTAGTGAAATTGAAGAGTTGTTGAAATGGGGTTTTTACCATAAGTAGACAAAAGACTGCCATCGGAAAGTGTGATATTTGAATTTTTTTTTTTAAGTGATGTCATTAGTAGTGCTGACGGGATCCAGGCTGTGAACATGGGAGAGAGTAGGTGGGGTAGAAGAGCAAATGGTAGTTAGAGTGACAGGCTGGGGTTGCTTGGTCTTCAACATGGATGTGAAGTCCCAAAAATATATATGAGAGTAAGGATAGAGAGGAAGGCAGTGAGCTGCTAGTCAAAATGTTAGTGAATTGGAGCTTTGACCCACCTGTAAGTTTGAGGATGACAGCACCAAGGAGGTGCTAATGATATGAACTGCAAAGGATCTGGGATTTTTGAAAGAGATTGGAGGAAAAAATACTTTTAAAGCCATGATGGGAAAGCAAAGAGCCCTTCCTCACCTGGTCCCTGAGATATATGGGTTATGAGAGATAAAATAGACACCCTTTGAGAGCACTCAGGGAAGCAATAACATCAGGGAACAGCCAGGTTTCGATTAAGGGGAAGAATCAGGAGCATCCGGAGAAGAGATGGAGGCTATGGGATTCTCACTGATCAAGTTCCAGGCCTAGGGAAGTGCTTTAGGAAGAAGATGGGAGATGGGCAATTGGGTCAGATTAGGGGATGGCTATAGAAATGAAAGCCAGCCGGGCACGGTGGCTCACACCTGTAATCCCAGCACTTTGGGAGGCCAAGGTGGGCGGATCATGAGGTCAGGAGATTGAGACCATCCTGACTAACATGGTGAAATCCCGTCTCTACTAAAAATACAAAAAATTAGCCGGGTGTGGTGGTGGGCGCCTGTAGTCCCAGCTACTCGGGAGGCTGAGGCAGGAGAATGGCGTGAACCCAGGAGGCGGAGCTTGCAGTGAGCTGAGATCCGGCCACTGCACTCCAGCCTGGGAGACAGCGAGACTCCGTCTCAAAAAAAAAGAAAGCCTTGGACTTTTGTAGGTGAGTAAGACAAGACATCTGTGGGAAGTATCCTTTGGTTAAAAGACCATTTGTTTTTGACAGACTTTACTGTCAGCTGCTTCTCTCAGGCTATAGGAACAACTCTGGTCTGCTGCGGAGCTCTGGGGAGTTTCTGCTTTCTTAGTGTGATCTGCATTCTCTCAAGGGCTGTGTTTCTGAGGTCCAGTTCTTCAGAGTTATGCTTCAGTCAAATTTACAAATGCTATTGTGGAACAAGGTTTCTCTTCTTCCTTGTGTCCTTTTGTATATATTGGGAAGTTTGGGATAGAGAATCAAGGGTAAAATCTTCAAGGCCTTTTTAATACCTTTTCTTTTGAATAGAGCCTGGATGCAGCCTTGAGCAACCTGTCTCTTTTCCCTGGGCCCAGCCTAACCTGTCTGAGTGCCGTGCAATTAAAGACATTTTCAAAGCTAGAGGCACTCTCATCTCCATACTTCTTCATTTGCTAACCATTCACTGAGCTACAAGGGATGATAGAAGAATAGGAATTGAAAAAAAAACTTAGGCCAGAGAAAAGCATCTGGAATCAGCAAATGAAATTGTTAAACATTTAATTTCAATGAACTGACTTTCGTTTGTTTGGAGTCTCTTCCCCTCATGAGACTGTCAGCTGTGTGACGGTAGAGACTGCCTGTTGTTAGTCTCCCTTTTACCCCATCACTTGACATGGTGCCTGCCATGCTATTTGTTAGGAAATATTTGTTGAGTGAGTGGATGAATATTTAGGATAAATGTAAGTTTTTTCCCTCCTTCCCTCAACAAGAAACAGCTGTCTAGAAGTGGATTTACTGTGACACTCTTAACAAGGGACTGGCCTTGGGGAGCTTTGCCAACCTTATCTCCTGGTCCCTCCCTCTTCTGTGCTAGGCAGAGTTCTTGCACAATGGAGAAGAGTTAGTGAGTGCCCTCTTAACCACTTTTGCTAACACAGTGTCCTCTACTATACTTCTCATCTGATTTATTTGCAAATTTTGCTCTTCTGTAAAGGACTAGGTCAGACACCATCTCTGAAGCCTCTTCTGGTGCCCTCGCTATGAAAGTAAGCTGTACCTCTGGTTTATGTTTTCATTTAAAATAGGGACTGAGCTTAATCATTATCTTCCCCATCAGTGTGTCTCAGGGTCTTGAATATAGTCAGTACTCAATAATTAATTGTTGAATTAAGGACTGAATGATCATTTGTAGTAGTCTATTTGAGTGTGTATTTGAGTAGTCTATTTGAATTACATTTGTAATTTAAACATGGTACAGCATAGAAGGAAATTATTTTCTGCTTTATTTTATGCCCTTGCCTGTTTTGTTAATTATGTATCTTTGAGTCTTTAAACGTTTTAGGGGGAAATGTTATTTAAAACACTTTCTCGAGATATCCTTTGAGTTTGGCTGTTAGAAAAATAACTGCTTCCATCCATGTGTTCCAGTGTCCTGAGACTACAGCTGGAACCTGGGGAGCGTTACAGCTTCCTGCAAGAGCCTGAAATACTGAACTGCTATTGAAGAGGCCCCCACCTGCACCCCTGTGTGTAAATAGAAGCAGACCCTGATTTGGTGCTGGAATAACATGAAGTTGAAGGCAGACTGGGTGGCCTGGCTGTTGGAGCCAGGATTCCAGTTTGCATTAAGAGCTGGTTATGGCCATTTTGAATTATTGACTCATTCAGCTCTGCAGAGGGGCCAGAGTGAAAAATAATGCATCCAGTTTCTTAAGGCTCAGTATCTAGGTTGGAAATCAACCTGTATCACTTTGAAAATTGTCACAGAAACAAGCAATTGTAGAAAGGTCTTGGAACTGGGAGAAAAAAAAAAAGGCCTTTATATAGTGAGACACAATCCCCAGGTAATCTGGTTTGTAAAGTCAAGGTTTAAATTTGAAGACTAGCATATAGGGGCACCTAAAAGTCTAATAGTTGCCACTTTCCCACTCTATGCCAGGCTGTCTTGTTCCTTACCTTTGCTTGTTCACACCAAGGTGCCAGTCTAAGCTTTCTGTTTTTGATGGAACCCTCTATTTCAGATATCAACATAAATTGTGTTTCCTGCATTTAATGAACAGTTCTTATACATCTAACTTGTTTTCTCAATTGAACTGTTTAATTTTAAAACTTTTTATTGGAGAATAACATACATATGGAAAAATCATAAATATATAGCTAGATTTTCACAAGCTTTATTTTTTGTTTTAAAGGGTGTATTGAGAATTAATCCAAAGAAGTTTCATGAAGCCTTCATTCCTTCCCCGGTAAGTTCAATAAATTTATAATAAACTTAATGTCACATTTCATTTTTTAGATGTGCTCTGAAACTGAAATCATATATTCTAACTAAAAAGCAGAGTAGTGAAGCAAAATTGAGGATGGGCAAAGATTTGTTTCAAATTTAAATAAACAAAATTTTCTTTTGGTTAACAACCCCTTCTGCCAGTCTTAAAATCGCATGCCAAATGAAAGGGATGGCATTTGTTACAAGGCTGCAAAGAGCAGCTGGACCCAGGCAGACTACCCACCAGTTTGTGTAATTGAACGCCCTTGGTTTATGGCTTAAAAGGATTTATGATTTTTTCCACTGATTTAAGTTAATCTTTCCTAAACAAATATGCTATCTACTATGGATCTATTGCATGAGCTAATCTGAACATTTGTCCAAAAATAATGTGTAATGCTTTTTTTTGTGGGGGGTCAGAGTTTCTCACTTCACTTTCGTGCAGGTGATAGAGCTTCATACAAGGCTCTTTACCGTTGGGTCCTTCAGATCCTTTCTTACATTTATGACTCATTTTAAGAGGCTCTTTCCACTTAAATCAAGTTCATACTGACATATAGTTAGCAGCAGTTCTCTAGAGAAGGTTTGATTGAGCAAAACTAGGAGAGCAATATTCTTAAATTCCTGACCTAACTTTTCCAGGATACCATAAATAGAATAGCTATAGAATCATAGATTTTTCACAGTGAAAGAGACCAAACTTATGCTTATAGATGACGAAATGGAATACATATATTTTAATTAACATATTTTATTATTTTAAATGACAGTAAGTTTAGTGAGAATATAGGTTCAGTCATGTACTTTATAAATGTTGTTATTACAGATTGAGCACCCCTTATTTGAAACACTTGGGACCAGAAGTATTTTGGATTTGGAATTTTTTTTTTTAATTTTGGAATATTTACATTACATACTTACACTGAAATCCAAAATGCTCCAGTGAGCATTTTCTTTGAGTGTCAGGTCAGTGCCCAAAAGTTTTATATTTTGGAACATTTCAGATTTTATATGCTCAAGTGATATTACTGTTATTGTTACAATAACCTTATGACCTACTGTCAAGCTCAGTTTAGTCCTTTTCCCCTGCCTTTGAAATCCAGGGACTCGCATTGCATCCAAGTTCAAGTCTTACCCATTGAATCAGATAAAAGGTATCACTGGCATTCACATTACTCTTTCTCCGTCATATTCTGTTCCCGTGAGAGAAAATGACATATGTCTTGACCCTGGAACTTGAGTTGTAAAATTGGGTTGTAGAATTGAGGGTCAGCTTTGAGGTGGTAACTTGGCTGCAAGAGCAGTTCTCGCATATACTGGAAGTGCAGTTTACATATGTATTAGTTTCCAGAGTTTGCTCATAAGGTTAAATTTACATCCAGGAATCATAAAAACTACCCATGAAAATCTCTTAGGAAGGTGCTATGTTGGAGGCGGATAAACCATCTCTCAGTATGCCCTGCATAACCAATGTTTTTTTCCCATAAAGAAAGCATAACTGTTTCTTCAAGAATATACCAGTTGAAGGAACTTGATTGTATTAGGAGCACTCATGTATGAAAGACACAGATTTTTAAGCATGAAAATATCACTCGATGTAGTTAGTTCATCTTAAGAGGCAGCTGGGAACTGGGTAGACTCAGACCTCTTGTCTCTTGTGCATGCTTAAGTTTGTTCTTGTTGATGGCAATGATAAGGGGAACTACAGCATTCTGAAAATTTTGCTGCTCCCTCTCTTGCCTGAATACACGGTATAGGATTTCCCTAAGTTAAATCCCTATTGGGCTGGCTCCTAGCAAGTGTGGGACCTAGGACAGAAGTAGAAAAGAAGGCACACATACCTTAAATCAAATATTGATAAGTTAGACCTCACACCCACCATCAAGTAAAATATATTATTCTATATATTCCTTGCCAAATACACCTTCATATACCTGAGTTCAAATGTAGAATTCTCAGATTTCTTGCAGCTCCATGCTGAAGCATGTCTCCACCTCTAGCTTGCCCCTCTTCCCTTCTCGGTGCTAGCTGCCTGTCCCCTTGTGACTCCCTTGCATTCAGTGAGGGCCCTTTCATGCACAAACGTGGGCATCCTGTCCCACATATCTAAGCTATGTCCATACCCATTAGAAATACCTGTTCTTTAGCCAGCCGCCATGTTGAGGGGGTGCCTCCGGTGATGGGGGAGTGCCTGTATATGTCCTGGAGGTAGGCTTGGGGCTGCTTATTTTAGGGAAGCACATCCATTTGGCCCTGTGAACTCCTTGTCTGATGGGAAGGGGTGTGGCTGGGGCAGAGCCAGAGCAGAGTTGCTATGGTTCCTGCAAGCTAAATTCATGTAATTTACATCTGCAAATGATGTATCTCCATGGTTTAACCTGGCTTGTTAAAGCTAAGAAGCAAAAGCAAAAGGTGGTGATGTTTTAAAAGCTCATAGTTGCTCTCCTACTTAAAATTGTATTCTTGCTATGTCATATTTAGAAATTTTTAGACAGTTGCGATATTAGGATTGGCTTATTTCTATGCTTCTTTTATTCTTTTATTTGGCTCCCGCTTGAGTAGTGATAGTGTCTCAGAGAGAGAAAAACAATTCACCTCTCGGTAATTAAGAATAGATCATAAGAGCTGCCAATCAAGGCCCGTTGCAAGTGATTGTAGACACTCTGGTTTTGGACACGGGAACAGTCCTACAGTCTTGCTTTGTGGGTTTCAGTTTTCAGAAGCATTATAGAAAGCAATTGAAAAGGGCAATAATAGAGGCAACAGATTACTCATATATAAAGCCCACAACCAACTGTGGTCTAGATTTCTGAGTATACATAGCTCATATCCATGTCAAATATGAACTTGTATTAACTGGAAACTTGACTTAGGTTCATTATAACTTCTACTGATAGAAAGTTGATTTTCATTTTATGACAAATATAAAATATATGGGATGAAAAATGCCCACAGATAGACTGAGAAGTAGAATGTCAGAACCAGGGCCTAACTGTTACTGGCTTAAGCTAGGAGCATAAAGGCAGGAATGAATATGACAGAAGATGAGGCTTTTGCTCTGACAGTAGGACATACAGTGGCTTCCTCATTTGTAAAATGAGGGGATGGACTAAATGTTGTCGAATGTTCCTCACATTCTAAAGTTTTTAGAGAGACAAAAATAGAGATTTGATTAAATTATTTAGGTTTGCTCTTACTGACTCTAAAAGTGGTTGTGAATTTACACAATGTCATTTGCTATACTAAAATATCTCCCTGGGTCAACAGGTGAAGAACAGTGAATTAATCATCAGGTATAAAATAATACTTTGTTCTGGGGGAACTTGACTTAGGTTCATTATAATTTCTACTGACAGAAAGTTGGTTTTCAATTCATGACACATCTAAACTATACGAGATGAGTAACTTACGTGTACTTGCTAGTTTTGTGAGGTTCTCAATAAAAATGAAATACAGAATGTGAGTAAAGTCGTGACTTTCAAGCAAACCAAGATAAAATGATATTATTGACAGGCCTTTTATATTTGGGGATAGGATAAAGAGGAGAAAATTGATCAGATGGAAAAACCTGTCATTTTTAAAAAGCACAGTTTCTATTCTGAATTATGTAAATCTAAGAAGCTCTCTAACTTTTTAATGCATCTTGTCATAGGAGGCACCCTTTGTACAGCGATGGAATTTATTTTTGGTCCAAAGGGGACTGTTTCATCAATGAAGGATGCTATGACCATCGTGGCATACTTGTGTTGTCTTCCTTCCTACAGTCCCCTAAGTCTTTAGTCTGACTACCCATGCCCTTCTCCCAGTTCCTTTATTTTTCCTCCAGGGATGTTCATTATCTATTTTTCTTTCTTTTTTTTTCTATTACCTATTATTCTTTCTGATGGGTAGAACAAGACTTCTGGCGTTCAAACAAAGAGCTGAAATATTTGGCCTTAAAAAGTGGTTAAAAGAGATGACTTGAACTTTTACTATTGAGCAGTTCCCAAGCTTAGTATCTTTAAAATAAGAGATTCAGCGACAGATCAGTCTTCTGAATGAATCAAGGAAGAACTGAGTAGTGATGCAGTAGCTATAGATTTTTGTGTTGTCTGAGGTTCAGCTGAGCCCTGCTTTCCTTAGTTTCCTGGGATTGTAAGGTGATGGTACTGTCATCCCATCAATCTGAAATCTCTGCGCTGCCAAAGGGTAGTTGTAGCTGCTTATAATAGAGGCATTTCATTGCATATGTTTGACACATGAGTATGGGTTAGGGTGACCTCCAAACAGCCCACTTTTCATTCCAAGGAGGTCTGAGAGATCCTATTGCTTTTTGAATTGCAAAAGGCAGCAATAGATGGTGATGTGCCATATTTCAGTTGTTCACTCTCTGTTTACTGGCTGTCTCTTCCAGATCTCTCTGAGAAGCTTGTCAAGAGGTCAACTACAGTCATGTTTTGTGGCTAACACAGTAGCTTTTCCTCGGGGACTAGGGTGGGGTCGGTTTTGGCAGAGTGTGCAGGCCACAGCTGTCAGCCCATAGCTAAACTGGAAATTGAGCAGAAAAACTGTTCTAGAAGATCTCTAATGGTTTGTAAGTGGAAACTGTAAAAAATGCTGAGTGACTAAAATCTACACCCCCCCCCGCCTTTTTGATTTGGTGATTTTGGGATATTAATTTTAACTTTAACTAAAGTTTCATAGTAATCACCTTCAGTCCATTGAGTGTTATGTTAAATCTTATCTATGTCAGGTGTCCCTATTAGAAAAATTTGAGTGATGGTTTTCCAGACCCTTTTGCTGTCATCTCCTGTAAGAAAAAGTATTTTACTTCTTTCTTATTCTCTGAAAAAGAGCACATCATATAAACTTGTAGAGAATAGAAGGATAAGAGTACATGTTTGTTGGTGAAACATTTTGAAAATATTTCATTTTCTCAGGAACCCTGACTGCTGCAGAAGGCCTGCATTTCCTTAGCTATTTTGTTTATTTAAAATTACAAAGTAATTTGGATTACTAAGAAGACTCTGGCACCTATTTAAGCCAAGAAGTTGACACTTGGGGAGTTCACTGGGGAGCCACATTATTTAAAGTGGTTTGTTTCTGAGTGAGTGAGGATGAAAGTGTCTGTACCTTGTGTTCATTGTCTGGAGTTCACAGTGGTCCTAAGTCGGCACAGTCGGTAGAGTGTGAAGATCATGTGATGAACCTCATATTACATCTCTTTCTTTCTCTTCTTTGCCCTCTGCTTAGGTCTCCATAAAAACAACCACAACTTACTCTCTCTGCCACTTTCTTGGGGGGCATTATGAATTTGCTGGTTTCCTCCTAGAGAGCCCAAATCTTAGAACCATTGCTGCTCCTGCCCTCAGTTTGTTTTCTTGCGGGAGATTATATGTTGTTCCTCTTCTGTTCTTTTGCATACCTTCTATTTTTATACTTCCTTGATATGTTAAAAATTCATTTAGTATTAAAAAGGTATCAACATGCTTTATTTAATACAAAAAAGGATAGCCTAAGAATAACTTGCTGTTTTCTATTTCAGTTATGAAAGCATGCAATCTGTTTTTTGCTTTATGTGTTTTTAAGCTCACTATTGTCTTATTTCTTTTTCCAACCTAGGATGGTGATCGAGACATTTTTATTGATGGGGTTGTTGCTCGTAATAGAGCCTTAAATGGGGATCTGGTGGTCGTGAAACTACTTCCCGAGGAGCAGTGGAAGGTGAGTTAAATTTTCCCTTTCTAATTATAGATTTCTTAGGACCTTTCACATTCCATGGTGCACCAACAAGGCATCATAAACTGGAGGAGTCACAGACCCCTCAGGCGCTGTGGTAAGATTGGGTGTGATCTTGGAAGCATGCTACTGAATGCTTGGAACTTAGAAGCATCTGCTGGGCAGATTGTGAATCATCTGAGTTGTTCGCCCTGCTCCCTCTCTAGTGATCCATCCTCCCTGTCACGTGCCTTGCACTGGTTTTTGGTATTCTTTTGAATAAATACTGAGGGCCCATTCAAACTTGGTATGTATTATCTTCCTACATCCTATGCAGGGAGAACTAGAAAGACAAAGCCATGGAGACGGTGGCAGTCCCCACGCATTTCTGCTGCCTCCAGTGGAAAACCCAGGCAATACATATGGAGTTCTGTTGGCCCAGTTTGGTGATTGGGTGATTGGCAGATAAAAATAGTTTGTCTGTGTTTTTATGAATCAGGGATTTAGTGGCAGAAGAAAATGTTTTTAATATGAGAATATTTTGGGTTTCAGTCTCCATCTATGTCTGTTAATTGGAAAGGAAGATACGGTTTTAGTGTTGATGGCTGTTTTAAATAAAAGTAAAGATCAGACATTGGAATGATTTGTGGTGACTGTCTTTGAATTGTCATGTAGGATTGGAGACTTGTATATCTAAGTCTGAATTTGTCTTCATATCATTTGTTTTATTTGGCTACATTCGTTGGTACTCGAGAATTTGGTGTTCTTCAATAAGATGTGTTATAGAGTAGTGATTAAAAGTATGGGCTTTTAGGCTAGGCTACTTAGATTTGAATCTCATCTCTGCCATTCATCTCTATAACTTTGAGCGAATTGTACAACCTTTCTGCTTCAAAGGTCTCATCTGTAAAATGGGAATAATCATGGTACCTACTTCATAGGTTTGTCATGAGAATTAAATGAGAATACATGTAAAAATTTTAGAATAGTACCTAAAAATCTTAGAATGGCAGGAACTCAAGAAATGTTCTTATTAGCTTTTCCAGAAAAGATGTGATGTGCACCACTGTACTCCAGCCTGGGCGATGGAGCTAGACTCTGTCTCCAAAAAAAAAAAAAAAAAAAAAAAAAAAAAAAAAAAAAAAATGTGATGTGAGGAGCACCATTTTATCTCAGAGCTTTGTTGAGGAATACATTATTTTTAATCTGATACAACTGAAGTAATTGAATTATAGCTATATGCCAGGTATTCATAGGGTGTAGGGAATTCAGTCATGATTGGGACTGACATAGTTCTTGCCCTCATGGAGCTTATAGTTTAATGGGGACTGCAGGTAGGAAAAGACAGATACTGATCACATTTATACAAATTTAAGTGTAATTTTAATTAATGCTGTGAAGTGCAGGTTTTTTTTTTCTTTCTTTTTTTAAAATTATACTCAAGTTCTGAGATACATGTGCAGAATGAGCAGGTTTGTTACATAGGTATACATGTGCCATGATGGTTTGATGCACCCATTAACCCATCATCTACATTAGGTATTTCTCCTAATGCTATCCCTCCCCTTGCCCCCACCCCCCAAAAGGCCCCCTTGTGTGTGATGTTCCCCTCACTGTGCCCATATGTTCTCATTGTTCGACTCCCACTTATGAGTGAGAACATGTGGTGTTTGGTTTTCTGTTCCTGTGTTAGTTTGCTGAGAATGATGGTTTCCAGCTTCATCCATGCCCCTGCAAAGGACATGAGCTCATTCTTTTTTATGGCTGCATAGTATTCCATGTGTATATGTGCCACATTTTCTTTATCCAACCTAACATTGATAGGCATTTGGGTTGGTTCCAAGTCTTTGCTATTATGAATAGTGCTGCAATAAACATATGTGCGCATGTATCTTTATAGTGCAATGATTTATAATCCTTTGGGTATATACCCCATAGTGGGATTGCTGGGTCAAATGGTATTTCTAGTTCTAGATCCTTGAGGAATCACCACACTGTCTTCCAGATGGTTGAACTAATTTATACTCCCACCAACAGTGTAAAAGCATTTCTATTTCTCCGTATCCTCTCCAGCATTAGTCGTTTCCTGACTTTTTAGTGATTGCCATTCTAACTGGTGTGAGATGGTTGCATTTCTCTAATGACCAGTGATGATGAGCTTTTTTTATATGTCTGTTGGCCACATAAATGTCTTCTTTTGAAAAGTATCTGTTCATATCCTTCGCCCACTTTTTGATTTTTTTTTCTTGTAAATTTAAATTCCTTGTAGATTCTGGATATTAGCCCTTTGTCAGATGGATAGATTGCAAAATTTTTCTCCCATTCTGTAGGTTGCCTGTTCACTTTGATGATAGTTTCTTTTGCTGTGCAGAAGCTCTTTAGTTTAATTAAATCCCATTTGTGAATTTTAGCTTTTGTTGCAATTGCTTTTCGTGTTTTAGTCATAAAGTCGTTGCCCATACCTATGTCCTGAATGGTATTGCCTAGGTTTTCTTTTAGAATTTTTATGGGTTTAGGTCTTATATATAAACCTTTACTTCATCTTGAGTTAATTTTTGTATAAGGTGTAAGGAAGGGGTCCAGTTTTAGTTTTCTACATATGGCTAGCCGGTTTTCCCAGCACCACTTATTAAATAGGGAATCCTTTCCCCATTGCTTGTTTTTGTCAGGTTTGTCAAAGACCAGATGGTTGTAGATGTGTGATGTTATTTCTGAGACATGTATTCTGTCCCATTGGTCTATATATCTGTTTTGGTACCAGTAGCATGCTGTTTTCATTACTGTAGGCTTGTAGTATGGCTTGAAGTCAGGTAGCATGGTGCCTCCAGCTTTGTTCTTTTTTCTTAGGATTATCTTGGCTATACAGGCTCTTTTTTGGTTCCATATGAAATTTAAAATAGTTTTTTTCTAATTCTGTGGAGAAAGTCATTGGTAGCTTGATGGGAATAGCATTGAATCTGTAAATTACTTTGGGCAGTATGACCATTTTCACGATATTGATTCTTCCTATCCATGAGCATGGAATATTTTTCCATTTGTGTCCTCTCTTTCCTTGAGCAGTCATTTGTAGTTCTCCTTGAAGAGGTCCTTCAGATCCCTTGTAAGTTGTATTCCTAGCTACTTTATTCTCTTTGTAGCAGTTGTGAACGGGAGTTTGCTCATGATTTGGTGCTCTATTATTGGTGTATAAGAATGCTTGTGATTTTTGCACATTAATTTTGTATCCTGAGACTTTGCTGAAGTTGCTTATCAACTTAAGGAGATTTTGGGCTGAGACGATGGGGTTTTCTAAATATACAATCATGTCATCTGCAAACAGAGATATTTTGACTTCCTCTCTTCCTGTTTGAATACCCTTTATTTCTTTCACTTGCCTGATTGCCCTGGCCAGAACTTCCAATACTGTGTTGAATAGGAGTGGTGAGAGAGGAGGGCATCCTTGTCTTGTGCCGGTTTTCAAAGTAAATGCTTCCAGTTTTTGCCCATTCAGTATGATATTGGCTGTGGGTTTGTCATAAATAGCTCTTACTATTTTGAGATATGTTCCAATACCTAGTTTATTGAGTGTTTTTAGCATGAAGCGGTGTTGAATTTTGTCGAAGGCCTTTTCTGCATCTATTGAGATAATCATGTGGTTTTTGTCATTAGTTCTGTTTATGTGATGGATTACGTTTATTGATTTGCGTATATTGAACCAGGCTGGCATCCCAGGGATGAAGCCAACTTATCGTGGTGGATAAGCTTTTTGATGTGCTGCTGGATTCGGTTTGCTAGTGTTTTATTGAGGATTTTTGCATTGATGTTCATCAGGGATGTTGGCCTGAAATTTTCTTTTTTTGTTGTGTCTCTGCCAGGTTTTGGTATCAGGATGATGCTGGCCTCATAAAATGAGTTAGGGAGGAGTCTCTCTTTTTCTATTGTTTAGAATACTTTCAGAAGGAATGGTACCGCTCCTCTTTGTACCTCTGGTAGAATTCGGCTGTGAATCCATCTGGTCCTGGACTTTTTTTGGTTGATAGGCTATTAATTACTGGCTCAATTTCAGAACTTGTTATTGGTCTATTCAGGGATTTGACTTCTTCCTGGTTTAGTCTTGGGAGGGTGTATGTGTTCAGGAATTTATCCATTTCTTCTAGATTTTCTAGTTTATTTGTGTAGAGGTGTTTATAGTATTCTCTGATGTTAGTTTGTATTTCAGTGGGATCAGTGGTGATCTCCCCTTTATCATTTGTTTATTGTGTTTATTTGATTCTTCTCTCTTTTCTTCTTTATTATTCTGTCTTGTGGTCTATTTTGTTAATGTTTTCAAAAAACCAGCTCCTGGACTCATCGATTTTTTCGAATGGTTTTTCATGTCTCTATCTCCTTCAGTTCTGCTCTGATCTTAGTTATTTCTTGTCTTCTGCTAAGTTTTGAATTAGTCTGCGCTTGCTTCTCTAGTTCGTTTAATTGTGATGTTAGGGTGTCGATTTTAAATCTTT